CTGCGCGGGGCGCGGGGGGCGGCGGGCAGGGCTCGGGCGCACTCCGCTCTCGCTGCGCTCAAGGTGCACGGACCAGCCGGCCGCAGCTGGGCTCCGACCTCGCTCCTGCTCCTTTGCTGCTGCAGCGGCCCGCCGCCCGCTCCATTCGTCTCGGATTCCGGCCCCAGCTTCCTCGGCGCCGCCCGCCCGGCCCCGAACCCTGCTCCGCGGACCATGCGCCGGGCGCCCTCCGGGGAACCGGGCTGGGCTGCTAGCCGGCAAAGACTAGGCTCCCGGGCCGGGGCTTCACCCGGACTCCCGGGTCGCAGCCCGCGCCCTGTCCCGCGTCCCGGCGTCCTGTGAGCTGCGGAGCCATGGAGCGCGCGCCGCCCGACGGGCTGCTGAACGCGTCGGGGGCGCTGGCGGGAGAGGCGGCGGCGGCTGCGGGAGGGGCGCGCGGCTTCTCCGCCGCCTGGACCGCGGTGCTGGCAGCGCTTATGGCGCTGCTCATCGTGGCCACGGTGCTGGGCAACGCGCTGGTCATGCTTGCCTTCGTGGCCGACTCGAGCCTCCGCACCCAGAACAACTTCTTTCTGCTCAACCTCGCCATCTCCGACTTCCTCGTGGGTAAAGCCCCCTGACCCCTCGCGCTCCCGAGCCCGGGGGCGCTGAGCCCTGCCAGACCACCTGAGTCGGGAGCCCTGAACTGGGGCGGCACACACTCCTCCAGTACCCGGGCTGGGGAGGGGGCGCCCAGAACCTTTGGGGCAGTGGGCGCGGGCGAAGTTCCTTGCCTCTCAGTCTGGACGGGGGCTGCGGAGAAACCTTTCCCGGGAAGGGCCCTGAGCCGGCGGGTGCTCGGCGCAGCGCAAGGCGCAGCGGCCGCGGGAGAAGCGCTGGCTTCTGCGCCGTAGCCAAACAAAGGCTGCAGCGGGCTCAGGACGTGAGGAGGGCGCTGTGGGAAGATTGGGGAGCTTGGTGGAAAGGACATGGAAGGGGGATTTGTTTTGGAGCGGTGTTGGGGAAGGGGACCACGGGGAAGGCGGGGGTGGGGTGGGGGAGATGCTCACGGAGCGTGCGCTCACGTGTCGGTGCGCGGCTGCCGGCTGGAGGGCGGGGGGCGGGGCGTGCAGAGGGGGCCGGAGCGCCAGACACCTGTTGGGGCTGCCAGATGCTTCTCCCAGACACTGCAAGGCGGTTTTGGCGGTGGGAGTGGCTGGCGGGGCTGGGGCCAAGAGCCCTTTAAGCCGAGAAAGAGCGCTTTTTCGATTTTCAAACTGAGAATACAGCTGTCCAACAGCCACGGGAGGGGCCGGTCCAGCGTGGGGGTTTGGGGGGAGTGGGCGCTCCAAGGGCCGGGCAAAAGTCCAAGGGTCCCCACACCTGGACCCTCTCTCCTGCTCCCAGTTCAGGGGTTGGGGGGGGGGTTGGGAGTTGCGTGGGGACTGCAGCCTGGGGGGACTGGAGGGTAAGATAAGGGGTGCTAGCCACAGGCAGGGCCTGCCCAGGGAACCCCAGGCCTGCCCTCTCTCTGTGTGCTTCCTCAGACCCCAAGCCCCTGTCACCCGCGGTTCCATCGCAGCTTTATCTCACACAGGTGCCTTCTGCATCCCGCTGTATGTGCCCTACGTGCTGACGGGCCGCTGGACCTTCGGCCGGGGCCTCTGCAAGCTGTGGCTGGTGGTGGACTACCTGCTGTGCACTTCTTCTGTCTTCAACATCGTGCTCATCAGCTATGACCGCTTTCTGTCTGTCACCAGAGCGGTGAGTCCTGGGCTGCAAGTATTGAGTTTCAGACTTGGGGGGGGGGCGGATTGGTGGGCAGGTGGGCTTGATCTCTGCTGGCCTCAGACCTGACTTGTGGGCACTCTTGGCCATGTGCCCAGTCGGAGGCCATTTGCAGCTAGCAGGATGAGTCCTGGCATGGGCAAAGCAGAGTGTCTGACCCAGATCAGACGCTCCTGCAGGAAGGGGGTCACTGACCAGCCTCTGGGCCCAAAGTGCCTGGAGTTGAGAGATGACCTTTATCCATTCCACATGCCAGCATAAGAGCTGCAGGAGGATGGGCTGAAGCACACAGCTTCGCCATTGCCCTGGTGTGAGTGGCCGTTGTGAGTTAGCACTGGACTTGCGGGGAGCCGTTGAGTGGGAGCTGTGTGGATGCTGGAGTGAGGCATGGCCGCAGCACCGCTCCCCTCCCCCTCTCTGACTGCTCACCCACCTATGCCCTGGCAGCGAGCAGGTTTCTTTGAGCCTAGAAGGATTATGGGACAGAATGCCAAAAGCACAAGCCTGCGGTCCTCTTGAGTCCCTCCTCTGCCCCTTGCAGCCACCAGGGAGATGGGGCAGTCCTGGGCTGTCATGAGATTAAGTAAGCTACCGTCCGAAGGGTGCTCAGCACAGATGGTGGCATGGTGCCACAGGCCCAGGGATAGCTGAGCTCTGATCCTTGCCCCTGCAGTCCCCAAGGTAAAAGCTATCAGGCTGATGTGGCTGGGGGTGGGCACAGGTCCTCAGTTCTTCCTCTGGGTGTCCCATCTGAGACCCCCAAATGGATCTGTGGTCCCTCCTGCCCCCTACCCCCTGCTGGCTGGTTGCCCTTTGTGGAGACATATCAAGGACTTACTGGCCCCACCCTCTCTGCCTGCACCTTTCCAAAGGTCCTTATGTACATCTTGGATGTTTGGTTTCTCTCTCTCTCTCTCTCTTTCTCTCCTACCAGTGGGCCCACACATGGTTTCACTCCTCCAGCTCGCAGGGCGTAAGCGCTTGAGCAGAGGCAGAGCTGGGGCCACTTTTCCTCGTGGCTAGCTGTTCAGCTTGGCTCAGGCCCTCGCAGCATGCTTCCTCATAGCAGAAACAGTTGTGTGTGGCTGCCGGAAGCGGCTGGTTCTGAGTCTGGTGCCAGGGAACAGAGGCCAGTGACAGGACACTGAGAGCTCACTGTGATGGGCTGGTAAAGAAGCCAGGGTTGGCTTGACTGGGGCATTCCAGGGCTCTAGGAGTGTGAACAGACAGCAGTCGCCAGCAGAACTCACGAGGGAGGTCCCTGCCCACTTGCTGGAAGAGCAGAGAACGAGCACCGGTGCTGCTGCAGCTGAAGGGCCATCCGGCCTGACCCCTCCCTGCCTGCGTGTCCCTCTGCAGGTGTCCTACCGGGCCCAGCAGGGTGACACACGGCGGGCAGTGCAGAAGATGGCATTGGTGTGGGTGCTCGCCTTCCTGCTGTACGGGCCAGCCATCCTGAGCTGGGAGTATCTGTCAGGAGGCAGCTCCATCCCTGAGGGCCACTGCTACGCTGAGTTCTTCTACAACTGGTACTTCCTCATCACAGCCTCCACCCTGGAGTTCTTCACGCCTTTCCTCAGTGTCACTTTCTTCAACCTCAGCATCTACCTGAACATCCAGCGGCGCACCCGCCTTCGCCTGGACGGGGGCCGAGAGGCTGGCCCTGACCCCCCGCCTGAGGCCCAGCCCTCCCCGCCTCCACCGCCCCCGGGCTGCTGGGGCTGCTGGCCCAAAGGGCAGGGGGAGTCCATGCCACTGCACAGGTATGGGCCGGGTGAGACTGGCCCCGGCGCTGAGGCTACAGAGGTGGCCCCCGGGGGTGGCAGTGGCGGGGGTGCCGCAGCCTCGCCCACCTCCAGCTCTGGCAGCTCCTCCAGGGGCACAGAAAGGCCACGCTCCCTCAAGAGGGGCTCCAAGCCCTCTGCATCCTCAGCATCTCTGGAGAAGCGCATGAAGATGGTTTCTCAGAGCATCACCCAGCGCTTCCGCTTGTCACGGGACAAGAAGGTGGCCAAGTCCCTGGCCATCATTGTGAGCATCTTCGGGCTCTGCTGGGCCCCGTACACACTGCTAATGATCATCCGAGCTGCCTGCCATGGCCACTGCGTCCCTGACTACTGGTACGAGACCTCCTTCTGGCTGCTGTGGGCCAACTCGGCCGTCAACCCTGTCCTCTACCCCCTGTGCCACTACAGCTTCCGCCGAGCCTTCACTAAGCTCCTCTGTCCTCAGAAGCTCAAGGTCCAGCCCCACGGCTCCCTGGAGCAGTGCTGGAAGTGAGCATGGCCGCTCCCCTAGGCTTGTCTTCTGGACAGCCCCCACGTGTGAGCCACACGCTGTCTGGGGCCCACCTAATGTCACAGCAGCTGCTCTTAGACCATTTGCCCTGCTCTGAGGGCAGCCTGGTGGGCTGTCTGGGTCCTCACTAGCCAAATGGAGTGTGGGTGGCAGGCTGTGCTCCCCAGACCATGCTTCCATCCCAGAGGAACACCCCGGGGCCAGGCGTGCTGTCCACCCGCACGGACAGTGCAACGCCTGGTGGTATCCATGTTTTCACACTTAGTGGTTCGTGTTCTCAAAGTGAACGCTTGGTGTGTGCTCCAGCTTCCAGACCCAGCAGTGTGCTCCTGCACGTGCACACGCCTGCGTACCCCCTCCAGACAAGCCTGGACGCCGCCCTTGCTGCTGTCTGTTTCTTGCTTAAGCCCAGGGCCCAGCTCCTTCATCCCTCTTTCCCCTCCTTGCTGCCCCACCTAGTGTCAAGTGCCCCGGGAACCTTGAAGCCATTCTCTGCTCTTCCATTCTGGCTGTTTTCAGGAAGATGAAGAAGAAAACACGTCTGTGAACTTGATGTTCCTTGGATGTTTAATCAAGAGAGACAAAATTGCCGAGGAGCTCGGGGCTGGATTGGCAGGTGTGGGCTCCCACGCCCTCCTCCCTCTGCTGCGGCTTCCGGCTGAGCAGTGCCAGCTGCTTCTGCCCGCCCCAGCCCTGGGCTTGGGACAATGGGATGGCCCAACTGGCGGCTCTGAGCCACAGCCAGAGCCAAGCAATGCCTCTCAGCTGGCCAAAGCCTGTCCCGCCAGCCACGTTTGCTTAACCATGATTTCCTTGGAGTGATTGGGTAGGAGGGGACCTGGCTGTGCCCTCTGGCTCCTGAGCCTTGCAGGGACAGTCAGCAGGATATCAGGGCAGGGGACAGCTGGGGACACTTTGCCATGTCCTGAACACCTGCCGCAGGCGCTCTGCATGCTCTGCTGCCCTCATGCCCACTGCGCTGCCCTGCCAATGTGAAGTCACAATAAAGTGTATTTTTTTATTGGTGCTGATTCCTGAGTGCTCTGTAGTGGTGCTCTAGTCAGAGATCCCCATGAGGCAGAAGAGACATACAAGGGGCTCTGCAAAACAAAGGGGGGCCTACCATCCTGGGGCTTGAGCTCAACAAGGGATAAGTGCCCCCACCTGGGCGACACCCCTGGCCACACTTCTCCAGCTTAGAGAACTTGCACCCAATGCCCCGGCCTGATAAAGCAGGCCACCTGGGCAGGGACTGTGTCCTCACACACGCCATTCCCTGGGGACAGGGCTGCGTGCCAGCAAGAGCCAGGGTGCAGGGATGGGGGGGCTAGGAAGGAGTGATGGAGGGGCTGTGCTGACCAGGTGGGCACCGGGCAGTTTGAGGGAGTGCTGGGCGGGGGAGTAGATGAGCCTGCAGCAGGTGGCATCTTTCCTAGAGGTGCCATCCTAGACAAAGGCCTGAAGGTACAAGGTGGGCACCGTGGGAAGGGGCAGGAAGCAGGGTTGATGAGCCAGTGGTGAGGAAAGGCTGACTCAGGAATTGGAAACGAGCCAGGCCAGGAGGCCCCTGTCCCTCTGATCCAGGTTCTCACCAGCCCTGACTCTACCAGGCCTTCCTTTCCTTTCCCTGCCACCTCACTGCCACTGTCCCCTGGCCACTACCCTGTGGCCAAGCCCATACTGCTGGAGCCATGGCGCCTGGCCCATGGTAAGCAGTGGCCTCCAAAAAGCAGAACCTGTAGGAACTCTGATTCTCAGCACTGCAGAGGGGCAAGCAGCCCATGGGAACCTTCCTTCTTCGGACTTTCTCATGCCCCATGGCTGTGCCTACATTTCACTTCCATTTTCGAAACCTCCCGGAAAACTTTCCCCAAAATTTGGGTGGACCCTTGCTCTTTCCAGCTCTTTCCTTCTGGGGGTCTTGGTGACACTATGCCCCCCTTTCTCTGGGGATGGACTCCATCCTGAGTGGCTGGGAGCAGGGAGGGCAGGGCACATCCCCCCGTTTCCAGGAGGCCCTGGGCCTCCTCCTCCTCTGGCTTCCCTTGCCCCACGCCTCCTGCCTGGCCCCCTGTGCCCGTCTGTCCCACAGCCCAGAGCTGTCTGGGAAAGGACAACAACAGCCTCAGCAGCAATGGGCGCCTCTGCACAATGGCACAGCCAGAGCCCTGGCTGCCCCTCTGCCTGGCCCTGCTAAATGGCGACAAATTGGAGGATAAAAGCACAGGCTTTCAAGCAATTTTGCCTTCAATCTCTGGAAACTGCTGCTCCTGGAGCTTCCGTGCAGGGACCGAGGAGGAGAGAAGAAAGACACAGAGCCTATTGGACACATGCGGCAGCAAACAAACACACCACGGGGGCTTCCTGTAATCCCAGTGAGCACGGGAGGAGCAAGCTGCTGCCCAGGGCCCCGGAGCATGGCTGTTGTTTACTGGGCACCTGCTGTGCAACAGGAACCACGGGAGGGCTCATGGGGGCCCACATCGCATCCCCAGCACAGGTGTGGGCACTGAGCTGCAGGGAGCTCACAGGTGATGCTGAGGAATGGGGTGCCCTGAGGTCAGCCAGGTGGCCTGCCACAGGGCACAGTCACCCCTCCTGGGGCAGGAAGCATGACTGCGGCCCCATCGGTCCTCCCGATTGGGTCCTTGGGGGCTGCATGTGCCGGGTATCTTGCCCACCCTGGTTCTGGCTCTGTGGCTTCCCCCAGGGACAAGTTCTGGACATCTGCTGCACCAGTGTCCTTCCCAGGCTGGGATGGAACCCTGAGCTCTCCAGCAAGCACATCCATCCCCTTCCCCTGCAAGACCCCAAAGGACTGGGAGCCAGAGGCGTGAAGAGGGATGACTGGAGCTCCCCAGCCAGCTTCAGGAGCCGTGTGACCACCAGCTGCCGCCTCCGCGCTGCCAACCCTCGTGCCAGACATATGGGGTGAAGAACCTCCTACCGATAGTTATTGGTGCGGCACGGGTGCAGGCCCATGTCCTCACAGGGACCAGGAGAGGCAGTTGCATGCCCCATTCTGCTGCTGAGAGTGGACCTGGAGGGGGTCGCCCCTGCGTCGCGCACACGTCGTCAGTGGAAGGCAGCACGCCACACCAAGCCTGACTGCTGCTCACCCCTCTCCACTGCGTTCTCCCTGAGCACCTACTGTGCGCTGGGCTCCATGGGGCACCGGTGGGTGAACCAGGCCTCCCTTTGGGCTGTCTTCCTGGGAAAAGGGGCCCATGTCCCAGTCACTGTGTGCATAGTGTAGGGAGGGCTGTGACCAGCAAGGGAGCGGTGACCCCATGAGCTCTGGGGATCTGGACTCGCAGCACAGGAAGGAACGAGAGGGAAAGTAGCAGGGTGGCAAAAGAGCCACAGCGCCCAACCGCCCAGGTCACAGGAAGTGTGCTCGGAAGAGAAACTGAGGCCAGACTGGAGATGTCCTCTGCTCGGCCGGCCAGGCTGACACACAAGCATCCGAAGGGGTGCGCGGTTCCTCTCTGCCTCCTCCCAGCTGGCCGCACGGTCCAGTGGCCGCAGGGCCTCTTCGCCTTCTTTGCAGGACTAGCCCAGCCTTGCCAGCCTAGGGGCAGCCAGGCCCAGCCCCCAGCTCTCCACCCCCGCAGGCAGGAAGTGGCTCTGCTGCTGCAGCCCTCCCCGCACCACCAAAGTCCTCCGTTGTTGGCAGCGCCCGCGCCTGCTGCCCGCAGACAGCGCCACGCTAACCTGTCATTATGCCTTGGGTCCTGCCTCCCAGCAGGTGGAGACAAAAGCTGGTGGGGCTCGTCCTGCTGCCCAGACCTGGGGGCGGCTCTTTCTCCATAGCTTCTCCACCCTCTCCTGTGGGGTGGGAGAGAGTGTAAGATCTGAGGTGGCTGGACAGGAAGTTCTGTCTGAATAGGCGGATGCCTGGCTGTGACCTTGAACAGGTCGGCAAGGTCCCCTCTGGTCCTCTCCAATGATCCCTCCCTCACTGGGGCCTTGTGAGAATGGAGGGACATCTTGCTCCTGTTGCCCAGGCCTTGGGATATATCCAGCCATCTGTGCTGGGGTGGCGAAGTCCAGGGGCTGCGACTCTAGAGAAGCCAAGGTCAAGGGTCAGAGGTCAAGCTCCAGAAGTGCCTGAGCTTCCTTCCGTGGACACAGGGCTCAGGGAGGGGAAGAGGCCAGGCTGAGGGGTGTCCCTGACCATGCCTGTCTGGAAGGACAGGGTGGGCGCCTTGCCGAGAGGAAGGCTGCGGGAGGAACGCTGCAGTCTAGCCTCCATCCTCCATCTCCCCTTCCTCCCTCCTTCTTTCCTTCTTTCTTTTTCTATCGTGTGTGTGTGTGGGGGGTGGTACTGGGGACTGAACCCAGGCCCTTTGCACCGAGCCACACCTCCAGCCCTTTTTCCTATTTTTCACTTTACTAAGTTGCCCAGGCTGGGCTATGGCTTTTGATGCTCCTGCATGTTTCCCACAGCAGTGCTCAATTACAAATGGGGCCACCACACCTGGCTGGAGCCCTTTCCTCTCTCATGTCGTCCTCGGTATTCTCTGATTCTCACGTTTACAGGAGGAAACTAAGGCACAGAGAGGCCGAGTAACCTGCTTACCGCTGCAGAGCCAACAAAAGCCTGAGCTGGGCCGCTCCCTTCCAGGACTGCTTCCCGGCTTCTTCCACCGAGTCCCCTTCTTGTTCCTCTCCTGAATCCAGTGAACCAGAGTTCACCTCAGCAGGCCCTCTTTGCTTGGAGAAAGCCATTCTCCCCTCACTCCAGCAGGCCCAGAGGCTGCCTGGACCTAGGGTGGGCTGGGGTCCCAGGTGTAGCTGCTCAGCTCACCAGGGTGGCTTTGAGGTGGCACTTAATGGAGCCCCACCTCCAGCCGCAGCCCTGGACTGCGGTCGTGTCCTGCTGTGGGGGCCAGTCCGGCCTGGCGGTGTCCACACTGTCTTCAGCAGGGCTACCCGGGAGGAGGCCCCCTGGAGGTGGGGAAGGGTGAGAGTGGGGCACGGGATCCAGCTGTACCTGAAGCTGGTCCTGGGGCTCCATTTCACAGGCCAAGAAGTGGAGTTACGTGGGGTGTGACTCTGTGACTGTGACGTCTAGTGCTACTCGGCACAGGCTGGCCCCTCGCCCCCTTGGCATCGGGCAGCTCACTCCTGCCCACAGTGTCTCTGTCTTGGAGTTCATTACTTAGGAGCTCGTAATAGCTGTCTGTAACGTGTGTTGTAGGAAAACAATCACCCAATAGCTGGCCTCTGGGGTGGAACAGTGAGCGTTTCCTGCCAACAGAACGCACAAGGGGACCGCACCAGGCCGTTGCCTGGGCTTGCAGCCTTTGTCCACTCAGCAGTGGCCTCAGCTCCTTCCAGGGCGCCCGCCAGGACTGGCTCTCCAGCCTGGCAGAGGCATGACTCCGACACACAGGGAGGGCAGGTGGCCAGAGCGACCACTCTTGGAGCATCACACATCATGGACAAAGGGCCCAGGTGGCCCCAGGTGCATCCTGGGCCAGTGCGGTGCCGGGGCCTTGCCATCCCCTGCACCAGAGGACAGCAGCCCAGACTCTTCTCGGAGCGCACCCCTCCCCTGCAGACCCAGCACAGCGGGGCAGGCCCCAGAGCAGAGCCGAGCAGCTTCCTGGGCCACAGCTGGCCCTGTCTGCTGGGGGCACAGTGGAACTTGGGGTGACTTGAGCTCTGGGCAAGGATACACACTCACAGGTTCCCTTTTTTTTTTTTTTTCTATATTTTTAGGGAAGGGTCTACAGGGTGTTTGGGGTCTCAGTATTA